GCCCAGAGCCGCAGTGCTTGGCTTATTTGAGAAACAGAAAAAGGTCTAATATGGATGGACTCTCAATATGAAGGTGGACAGAGGGGCAGGACAAGGCCAGGTAGACTGGGTAAAGGAGCTGGGTTTCCTAAAGCATTGGTGGGGATCCACTGGAGGCAGGGGAGTGCCATGAACAGACTTCTCTTTTGGAAAGATTAATGGATCGCTAGCAGCTTGTGGTCAGGAAAGTGGACTGAAGGATCCAAGAAAGCCCAGCAAGTAGACAACTACAGAAACCCTTCTAGATGAAGGAGCCTGGACCAAGATTAGGAAATGAGTGCAATGGAGAAACAATTAGATGTGGTTTCATGGGATCTTACATGGGGGCTGGGGAAGGGCTGACATAGACTAGGAAGACATTGACGAATTCCATTTTGGCCTCCATCTTCCTTCCCTTCCTTCCCTTCCTTCCTTCCTTCCTTCCTTCCTTCCTTCCTTCCTTCCTTCCTTCCTTCCTTCCTTCCTCCCTCCCTCCCTCCCTTCCTCCCTCCATCCCTCACCCTCCTCCTCTTCCTTCTCTTTCTCTGTCTCTGTCTCTCTCTCTGACTGCTCTTCATTAAATAACTGCACTTCTGCCTGCTATTGTATTAGTATTTTCATTACTTTTCCGCTGACAGTTAACACACCTATGACTTTCTTTTCATTTTCTCTGTGAAGCTACAGACTTCATTAACTTACCTCAGGAACTTCCCTTTATGGAACCTTATGCTGAAGGAAACAAAAATGAAGTAAATAAAGAGAAACTTTCCAGGCCTCTAGGGGAATTTCCTTATTCACAGACTATCTTATATAAATGTGCATGGAAACTAGGAAGCCCTAATTTCTAGTTTATAAAGTAAACATGGTGAGCTAATTAAAACAATCTGTTTGGAGTGCATTCAGATCTCCTGGTTGACCCCAAATTCCAGCTCCTTGGGGATTTACTTTCTATTCTTTTATACCTTCTCTGGTCTGTAATGAGAAGCAGCTATGTAGGAAAGAAGTACTGTGGATATCCTTCTAATGCACATGCCCATGGGACATGCCTCTCACAGAATCCCAATATTGGTAATAATGACAATGTAAGGAAGCACCGTTTGCAACCCAAAATGTATCTCTTTGACATGAAGACTACTGTATTTTTAAAAATGTTTTATTCATTTGTTTTGAGAAGTGGGGGGAGGGGCAGAAAGAGGAGAGAGAGCGTGAGAGAGAGAGAATCCCAAACAGGCTCCGTCCTGTCAGCACAGAGCCCAATGGCAGGGCTCAAACTCACAAGCCATGAGATCATGATCTGAGCGGCAATCAAGACTTGAATGTTTAACTGACTGAGCCACCCAGGCACCCCAGCATGAGAACTATTTTATTCTGATTATTTTTTTTCTTAAATAGTTGATTGTCAAGTTGGTTTCCATATAATACCCAGTGCTCACCCTAACAATTGCCCTCCTCCATGCCCATCACCCCCCTTCCCCTCCCCCCATACCCATCAGTCCTCAGTTTGTTCTCAGCATTCAAGAGTCTCTCATGATTTGCCTCCCTCCCTCTCCCCAACTATTTTCCCCCTTCTTCCCCTCCATGATCTTCTGTTATTTTTTTTAAATGTTTTTTATTTATTTCTAGGAGAGAGAGAGAGACAGCGTGAGCCGGGGAGGGTCAGAGAGAGAGGGAGTCACAGACTGAAACAGGCTCCAGGCTCTGAGCTGGCAGTCAGCACAGAGCCCTACGCGGGGCTCGAACCCACGAACCGCGAGATCATGACCTGAGCGAAAGTCAGACGCTTAACCGACTAAGCCACCCGGGCGCCCCGTCTTCTGTTATTTTTAAGAAGTAGAATGTTGAGGAAGAAACTTTGACCTTCCCCGAACTGCCTAAAAGACTTTAGGGGACTAAATCCATCCCGGGGACTGCTCCAGGTTGGGAGCTGTTCCCATAGATAAGCACAGTATAATATAACCTAGGTGAGGGAGACAGGGAGGACCCTAGCAAAGTCTGTTTATGCTCTTCTTATGTACAGCTCAGCAATCATTCAGTTAACAAACCTCTACTCTTTCTCATCTTTCTGTGAATTGTCTTCCTTCCCTTTGAAGACCCAGAACACCCTCCCCTATTCTTTAGTTTCAAATGACATATACACTTCCGTTGCTTGGAAGAATATGGGCCTCATATTCTTGTGGAGCCCCCCATACATACAAAATTAAATTTTATTTTCTCCTGTTAATTAGCCACACATCAGTGTAATTCTTAGACTAGCCAGAAGGGTCTTGAATGGTGGAGGCAATCCCCCCACCCCCTCAAGCAGTAATAATTATTGTTTCTTTTCTATCTAGTAAAGTTTTAATTACATAAGAGGAGCATCTAGATGAGTTTGGGACAGCAGAGTGATACTAGCATGGTCAGGACGAGGCACCAAGGGTCAACCCTAGATTGATTTGTACTACGCTAAGACTGATTCTTCCTTGTTTTTATTGTGGTAAAATACACATAAGAAAAATTTACCATTTTCATTATTTTTAAGCTCAGTGGCATTACATATTTAGTGTTGTGCAGCCATCATCACTATTCATCTCCAGAATATTTTTCTTCCCAAACTGAAAATCTGTACACATGAAACAGTAATTCCCCATTCCCTCCTTCCTGCAAGTCCTGACAGCCACCATTCTACTTTCTGTCTCTATGAATTTGATCATACAATATTTATTCTTTTGCAACTGGCTTATTTCATATAACATAATATCCTCAAGGTCCATTCATGTTGCAGCATGTGTCAGAATCTCCTTTTTTAAGGGTTAATAATATTTCATTGTGTGTCTATACCACATTTTACTTCTCTGTTCATTCATAGATGGACACTTGAATACTTCCATGTTGTAGCTATTGAGAATAATGCTGCTATGGGCATAGGTATACAGATATCTCTTTGGGTCCTTGCTTTCAATTTTTTGGGGTATGTACCAGGAAGTGGAATTGCCAGATCATATGGTAATTCTAAATTTAATTTTCTGAGTAACTGCCACACTATTTTCCATAGCAGTTAAACCCTTTTACATATCTACCAACAGGACCCAAGGGTCCCAGTTTCTCCACACCCTCTCCAAACACTTGATATTTTCCTGGTTGTGGCCATCCTACTGGGTGCAAAGTAGTATCTCCTTATAGTTTTGATGTGCATTTCCCTAATGATTCACGATATTGAGTATCTTTTCATGAGTTTGTTGGCCATTTGTGTATCTTCTTTGGAAAAATGTCTATTTACTCTTTTGTCCATTTTTAATTGGGTTGTTTGGGTTTTTGTTGCTGTTGGTGAGTTGTAGGAGTTCTTTGTATATTATGGATATTAATCCTCTAATAGATGTGTGATTTGAAAATATTTTTTCTCAGCTGAGGACTGATGGATGTGGGGGGGAGGGAGGGATGGGCATGGAGAAGGGCACTTGTGGGGATGCGCACTGGGTGTTATGTGGAAACTAATTTGACAATAAACTATTTGTAAAAAAATTTTAAAAATAAATAAATAAAATAATTTTGTTATTCAGAAAAAAAAATATTTTTTCCCATTCCATAGGTTCCCTTTTCACTCTATTGGTTATGTCCTTAATGTACAGAGATGACCCCATGAATATCATACCATAAGTGCCTCCCTTGCCTCTCCCCAGTCCTGACCCTGATATTAGTCCTTGTCTCTTCCATAAACATGAAATACCTAAAGTATTTGAAGCAACGCAGAGTCACTTGGGTTTCTGAAAGTTTAATTAAGCTCAGAATTTTATTCTTCTATCTGAACTGATAACCTGGGGTATCCAAATTTGAATATTCTTTCTGAAGCATGACCTACCTGGTCTATCCTAATTGTTACTTGAGACAGGGAGCCTCAAAGAAGGGTTGCTAAGACCCCTCTGTGCCATCCCTAAGAAGAGAGAAGCTTTAAAACTCTCATGAAATGATCACAGTGGGCCAGACACTATTTTATTTTACATGGGTTAACTCCCTTAATCTTGATGGCAGCTTTATGAAATGGATGCTGTTTGCCCCTCATGTTTTACATGAGGGCAGGAGACAGAGGGGTTGAATAAACTGCTGAAGGTAAGAATGCTAAAAGGTGGCACAACTAGACTCTGAATCACAAAAGGCTGGCTCCAGACTCTGTCCGCTTAACCAATTATAAACTGTACTTAATACATCATCTTCCCCATGTTTAATTTTAAAAGTTATTTCAGATTTTGGCATTTGCAGTGCAGTTGGTTTCCAGCATACTGCATTTGCAGGCTTCGCTTAGATAGCGTGGCTCCTCTCTTCACATTCCTTTTCCTTCTCTTGGCTTACAGAAGTGGCTTCTATTCTATCCACACGTAAGCAAGATCTGAACCTCCTGTAAATCCACACTTTCCTACTGAACACTGTATCCACGGCTAGATTCATGAGCTGAAAATCAGGGCCAACGATTAAACCCCTCCTACCTCTGAAAGCTTCTTACAATAGAGCAATAATGCTCCATCTTTGTCCCTCCTACCCCAATAGACTCAGGGCTACACCTGACTCTTAGGTACAGAAAAGCAAACCCCACTTGTCTGGCTAAGAGCCAAAAAATGATGCCATCTCAGCAAGTTCAATGTCTCAGCAGGTCATACCACCTAGGGAAAAAAATAATTCATGTCCTCACATACTTTCTTTGGCTGATGATGTGTTTGATGTTCTCCCATATTCTTTCACCAACATTGAATTTTAATGGATTAGGTAGAATAGCCAAGCGCAGCTTATTAAATAGGATGTCTCTTTGAATCAAGTCTATTTATCCAGAAAAGAATCACTTCTGCAGGTTTGTGGAATACCTCAGCTGTTGACAAATGATCCCCATGGCTTCTTTTCATCTGCCTGGGCTCCAGAACCCATTGATCTTGAGAATAAAATGGCTCTACCACCATGCCGCTGCCCCCCCCCACACACACATCGTCCTAATTATTGTGATTTGTCATTATTTGCAGGGTCCTATGGATCTACTCTGAGACGGGTACGTGGGTGTATCCTGTGTTTGCCAAGCTCAGCCCAGTGGGTCTAACAGCCTTCTTCTCTCTCAGCTATATCTTTAGCGCCAGCATCTATCTACTTGGAGAGAAACTCAACCACTGGAAATGGGGTCAGTTTATTTCTCTTTTACCTACAGAGACACACCTTCCTTACACTCTCCACTCCTCCTGGAAACGGAGGGAGAATCTAGTCCAAAGCAGGAGGAAGTGATGCTTGATGCCTTTGTCCAGAGGACTCAGGTCCTACCAAAGTAGGCAAAAGGAAAGCCTGGAGGAAGTGTGAATCTTCCCAAAAGACCCCATCAAATTATTTCCCTGCCCCCCCCACTACACCTCCTTTAACTCTAAGGCAAAAATAATCTTATTTAGAGAGTTCAGGACCCAAAGAACAAGAGCAAGGTGTCCCTATCCCTACATGAACCAATGAACTCAGTCTTCCTCCTCTAAGTGAGGGACTGACAGATACAAGCTGTTAAATGTCAAGGTTTCCTTTTTGAAGGATGTGGGTCCAGATGACCCTCTTAGTTTTTCCACCCTCAGTAGTGCCTTCCCAGATGACTTCCCATCCCTCGCCCATTCAGCTGCTTCTCAACCCTTAGTACAACATTTATCAGATAAAATCACACCCTGTACTTGAGAATGGGAATTCTCATTTAGACAGGGTCTTGGGCAAAGTGAATGGGTCAGCAAGCCAAGCTTTCTAACTACAGGTGGTTGGAACCATGTTGTTTCTTCATTTAAAAAACAAAACAAAAAAAATCTTAGCTGACTTTAAAATAGAAGATTTTATTTGATTCCTTGCTCCACCCACTGCCCCCACCCTTAGAATATTATTTTGTTGGAGAAGAAATTATCACAAAGTTAGGTTGTAAAATAACCATGATTTTTCTCCCTACCCAAAGGGAAGCACAAGAACTCTACCCTGATTTCATATATAAGGAAAACAAGAGTCACATACAATCCCCCACATCACACGCCCACATGCCATTCTGTTCTATCAAAATAGAGATGGCAGAAGTGGCATCTTCCGCCCAATCTATGAACTGGTGTGAAAACATAAGCCCATGTATGCAAAAAATTAAAAGAAAAAAAGAAAAGAAAAACAACATGACAGTTTGAGAAGGTTCAGTACAAGCGTGTATATTTCTGAGAGGAGAATGAGACCCTGGAGAAATAAGTATGCAACTTGGCTTTTTCACTTGTTTCTTCTTCTTGGAGGATTTAATCGGTTGGGGAAATCTTAAAGGCAATATCCTTGAAAGCAAACACTTAAAAAACCGGTTAGTTCATGTTGTATTTATTTATTCCCCAAATCAGGATTCCAAATCGCAGGGAATTATCCAGAGGGGGGAAAATGTGTTGACATTTCAGATGTGTTGACATCTAATTCTAACTGATTTGGCAACTTGAAGTTCTTGGTAAGAATTTTTGATGTCTACCCCAAATATATTTGTGTGTGTGTGTGTGTATGTACATATATACATGTATATATACACACACACATATGTATATAAAGGAAGAAAGAAAAAAGAAACTAATGCATTTGAAATGTGATGGATACAGGACATGCAGAGAAAAATGTGGTTACTCAGGGCATAGAGAACATTAACTTTATATTTTTTTTATTTAAAAAATTTTTTTAATGTTTTACTTATTTCTGAGAGAGAGAGGCAGCATGAGCAAGGGAGGGTCAGACAGAGAGGGAGACACAGAACCAGAAGCAGGCTCCAGGCTCCGAACCAGCTGTCAGCACAGAGCCCGACGTGGGGCTCGAACCCACGAACCGTGAGATCATGACTTCAGCCGAAGTCAGACACTTAACCAACTGAGCCACCCAGGCGCCCCAAACATTAACTTTTTAAAACAATTGCATTGACTTTAATAATGATTAATTTTAAGTTGTTATTCTACAGTGACTTTTAAACACCCATTGCATTAAAAATTTTTTCACCAAATCTAGTATTATTGAGATCACTATTTTCAACATAAAGCTCTTTTTTTTAAAGTTTATTTCTTTTGAGAAAGACAGAGACAGGGGTAGGGGCAGAGAGAGAGAGACACACACAGAATCTCAAGCAGGCTATGCGCTGTCAGCGAGGAGCCTGACCCAGGGCCTGAACCTATAAAACTGAGAGATCTTGACCTGAGCCAGAACCAGGAGTCAGATGCCTAACTGACTGAGCCACCCAGGTGCCTCACAATACAAATTTCTTTTAAATAGGCTTTATCAGTTAAGAACTACATCTAATTTCTCACTACAAGTAGGTCCCAATGAGTAAAGAGGCGAGCATCAACATGTGGACGGACCCTCACATGCACACATGTGAATGTTCATGTGAGTGACAGAGATTACTGTACGTGGTCTTGCATGCCTCTCCTCTCTCTAAATTTTTAACTCCTTAATGAATAGACTGGGTCAAAAGTCCTATATAGCCTCAGAATAGGATCATAAATGGGTTAAATTCTAAACAGATCATAATTACAAATGGTCTAATAAGAATTAAAAGAGAAATTAGAGGGGTGCCTGGGTGGTTCAGTAGGTTAAGCTTTGGACTCTTGGTTTTAGCTCAGGTCATGGTCTCACAGTTCATGAGTTTGAGCCCCATGTCAGGCTCTGAGCTAACAGCATGAAGCCTTCTTGAGGTTCCTCTCTCCCACTCTCTCTTCCCCTCTCTCGTTTGCTCTCTCTCTCTCTCAAAAAATAAATAAAAATTTTAAAAGAGACAGAGAAATTAGACCACTTAACATTCCAATGGCAGTGAACACTTAAATTGCCTAAAAGTAAACAGAGCTATCTATGTGAACACACTTTCTCATGTCTTATTCTACTTAAAACACTTTAGGCCTTCCCCAATTTACAGATGAAAATCCAAGCTCTTGGGATGACATGTGAGGGTCTCTGGGAAGCAATCCCTGCCTTGGCTTTTGCTCCGCTTTTTCTAAATGTGTGCCCCAGCACCACCAAATTGCTTGTCTTCTTTACACATTGATGCTGTTACTCACCTCCATGGGCTTCCTTTTCCATCTTTCACATTCCCCAGTCTTTGCCTGTCTCACACCCACTTAACCATATCAACTCACCTCTTCTAGGAAGTCTTCTCTGGTCTGCACAGAGATTTGTTTTTTCTCTAGACCCTGAGTTCTATAAGGGTTAGGAGCGTGTCTTCTCCATCTTTGAATCTCCCATTTCCATTAGCTTATTCCATGGATCAGTCAGTGCAGACAGAGAATATCTGAGGGTTCTTCTCTCGAGGTCTCATTTGGGATTTTGTGCACAAGGCTTCTGGATATAGTGGTCAAAGAGTGACTCTAATGGTTGAAGATTAAAGCACTAAACAGAGAGTTTAAGGAGTGGAGACAGGGATGCTATCGAATACTGGTTGGAGAGGTGCTGAAAAACAGATGCATATTAGGGCAGGCAGTGCAAAAAGAGCACTGGAATAGAAATCAAGAAAACTAGGGTATTTTCTAGCCGCAAATGAACCACATAAGCCATATCAGTACACTTCAACAACTCAGTTACAGGATGACCTCACACATACCCGTTTGCCCAGGACAGTCCCGGGTAATGCCTGCCATGCCGGGTTACATGTAGTTTGGCATTGTCGAGGCCTGGACAATCAGTTGTGAGGTTCTTCTAAGTCTGGGTTCCTCTCCAAACCTTCTGTTCTGGATCTGTGGAGAGATGTCAGCAGCTACCCCCTCTGTCCAAATCCAGGGCTGACCCTGTTTTGTCATCTTTTCACACCTGAGCTTCCTTGGATGAGAGCGAAATTCTAAGGAGTGCTTTGGTAATGCAGTGGGAGGTGGTGGCTAGGGGGAAAGCTCTGTGCCAGCCTGCCCGGGTTCCTATCTTGGTCCCACTACTGGTAGGCCTGTGACACTGGGCAAGGCACTTAATGCCTTTGATTCGTTTTCCTTGTGCATCATGGAGACGATGCTAGTGCCACCTCCTGACACCCGGTAAGACCATAAATGATGTGAGAAGTGTCAAGTGACTAGAACAGGGCCTGGCACATAGAATTCATTACCATTGCAGGGCACCTGGGTGGCTCAGTTGATTGGGCGTCTGACTTTGGCTCAGGTCATGATCTCAAGAATTGTGAGTTCGAGCCCAGCGTCAGGCTCTGTGCTGACAGTTCAGAGCCTGGAGCCTGCTTCGGATTCTGTGTCTCCCTCTCTCTCTGCCCTCACCCCACTTGCACTTCGTTTCTCTCTCTCTCAAAAATAAATATAAATAAACATTTAAAAAGTTTAAAAAAAAGAATTCATTACCATTGATGTTAATCTCATTCACCATCCTCAAAAACCAGTAACCTTTTCTATGTGGATATTCTAATCCTCTCCTTCAGTTTTAGGCATCAATTACCAGTTTCCCTGGCTGAAGGCCATTGAAAGCAACAATCACATAGCTGAGTGCAAATGGACAGAGGTGGAACAATTCCTAAAAACTACAGAGTGATAGAGGAGGTCAGGCTAACTGAGTCTCGAATTCATTAGAATCCCCGGTTCTGAAATCCTGAGACACAATGTGGTCCACTTAGGAATTACTAGCCAAGTACCAAGCGGTCAAGATATATCAGTGAAGACCCACCCAATGTGCAAGTGTCTCTCTAGCAATAGTCCTTAAGCTCCACACCACATTATAAAGTCACTATTGTAAAATCACTGAGGGAGTTTTAAAAATATGACTTCTCAGGTCCATCCCAGACCAATTACATCGCTATCTCTGGTGGTGGGTACTTGGCATTGATATTTTTAAAAGCTTTCCGGTTACCATAGTTTGCAGTCCACATCAGGAGCCACTGTCTCAGAGCAGTGCTTCCCAAACTTGTATGTGCTTCCAGATCTTGTTAAAATGAGGTTCTTGTTAAAATTCAGTGGATTCAGCAGAGTTGGGGTACGGTCTATACCCAGAGATACTCATGCTACTGGTCTGTGGCAGTGATGGCCACTGTGGCTGAATGTCTACCCGCTTTCTACCTCCTCATGTGTCATGTCAGTGGGTGACAATGGAGAGGAGTGAGAAAGGGCAGTAGGAAGACGTGATGCCAATAAATGTGAACCTGGATAGTGTGTGATGTCCCCCAGGAGTATATAGATGCACAGAACTGGCCCTCTGTATGGGGAGACAAATGCTCTCAGGCCCTCAGGAAGGTCTTGATGGTCCTAAAGAGGATGCTGTGGTTTACAAAGCTCTCAGGTGGGTCCAGAAGGCCACCCTGCCTGACTCGTCACCATCTCCCCACCTTTCCTGTTCTAGTTTTTATGTGTCATAGGACAGAGGGCTGGACAATCACTGGGTCACTTTTTGGGACCAGATGCCCACCAGGAAAGATTCAATGTCTACTCTTTGGGCAGAGTTAGATGCAACATAGGTTTCAAACAATAGTAGAATCAGGCAAAGGTAAATAGTCTCTGGCAGATCATTGTAAGCTGGGTCCACCACATCTGAGCACCTAGGGATGCCCCAGACATATTGTTTCCACCCTGATTTGGAGAAAGGGACCATCAAGGGGCTTCAATACAGTACACCTCGTCTGCCATGTAAGTACTGAGTTCTCCCTCCCTCCGTTCCTTCCTTCCTTCCTTCCTTCCTTCCTTCCTTCCTTCCTTCCTTCCTTCCTTCCTTTCTGTCTTGCACATTGCCCCTGATCATTTCATAACAAAAGAATCTTATCAGGAGATGATTCCATATGTATTTCTTTCTTTTTTTTTTTTTAACTTTTATTCATTTTTGAGAGAGACAGAGGGGGACAGAACATGAGCAGGCAAGGAGCAGAGAAAGAGGGAGACACAGACTCCAAAGCAGGCTCCAGGCTCTGAGCTGTCAGCACAGAACCCGATGCGGGGCTTGAACCCACGAACTGCGAGATCATGACCTGAGCCGAAGTTGGACCCTTAACCGACTGAGCCACCCCGGCGCTCTGGTCCACGTGTATATCTAAACCAGGGACTCACAGGAGCAGCATTCAGTCAACAACAAAACTGCATCTCCCTTTTGCCTTCTTTTCCTAATTTTATCTCCCTCAGCTCAGAGTCCAAACCAGATTACTGTCTCTCCGTCTTTCACTGCCTCTTTCTTTATGAGGGTTTCTCCAGCCAGAACCTCAAATCCATCGCCTTCCTGCTACGTCTGCACTGAAACTTTTCCTCATTCATGTTCAAACCTCATTCTTCTAACACCTCCTATCTCCCCAGCCATCTGCCTTCTCACCCTTTTCCAAGCCAACCCGCATACATGAGGCAAATGTTCTTCACATTTTCAGTTCAAAGTCTAGCAGCAGTAGCTTTTGTGACTGTAGATACATAGGTGTAAATCTTTGTGAATATAATGTTTTTACTTACTCTGCTTTCTGACTATTGGAATAATAAGGAATATAATTACATATGGTATCCATAGTGATGTTGATTAAAAGAATGGGGTGTTTTTTGCCATGACGGCAAAAAAAAATATTTGGATCTTGCACAAGACAAATGCTAAGTGTTTGGCCCAAAATATCTCTACTCCTTGGTACTATCTAACAGAGGATTAAGAAAGGATGAAAATGAGGCAGGCGTGGACCTAGCTCCCTCACTGCCTGCCGACTAGGAGGCATCCCACTGGAAAAATTGCCCTTCCATTAAGAAAAGAGTAACAACATTATTTCCCAGTCAGAATTTGAAGTCCATGTTGTGAACTTTGTCCGAGTAAGGTAACAGTCAACAGTTCCTTTGTCTCCAGTCATGTGCTATGGAATCATGGTCAGAGACCAATTCTGAGGACTCAGAGAAGCCTAGAGACTGCTCAGTAGCGTGAAAATTCAGGACTAAGGACCCACCCCCACCTGCTAGAAACAAAAAGAAAAATATGGTTTCTGTGACGTTCACACCACGGAAGCGACTGCCTAAGAAATGACTGTTGGAAGTCCACACAGTCCGCACCTGAGGAGGATGCCTTCTCAAATGTGTTTGTGGGTATATGGAAATGTCTCAGTGCTCCGTCTAGCTGTTTAGTGTTAGATGGGGAAGACTCTGATCCAGAAGAAGGAGCCACCTGCTCTCCTCCCACAAAGGAACTTCCTGCCACCACTTCTGCTCCTGGGCTCCTTCTCTCTAAGCCTTCAGTTTCTGTTGTGTTTCTTAAATGGAGAAGGGCTCTCCAATCCTCGGCAACTGGGGTTGCGGGAGTGTGGTTATGATTACAGTTGCACTTGAGGGGCTAGGGTTGGTAAACATCATGGATAAAGAGAGTTTTAGGGGCACCTGGGTGGTTCAGTAGGTCAAGCGTCCAACTTCAGCTCAGGTCATGATCTCATCACTCCTGGGTTCGAGCCCTGCATTGGGCTCTGTGCTGACAGCTCAGAGCCTGGAGTCTGCTTCGGGTTCTGTGTCTCCCACTCTCTCTCTGCTTTCCCCCTGCTCACACACTCTCTCTCTCTCTCTCTCTCAAAAATAAATAAACATTAAAAATTTTTTAAAAGAGAGAGAGTTTTAGGAACCTTCAGAGGGACTGCGGGAGGGGGACAAAGTTGAGAAGTTTATGTTGCCCAAGCTCTTGAATGTGAAGGGATGAATGCGTCATTTAGCTAAAAAAGGATTTATCACAGACAAAAATGTGTGCTTCAGAAAAGAGAAGCTCCTTTGTTTGTACTCAGAGACCTAATGTACAGAAGACCTGACTGGGGAGGAGAGAATCCACACGGAAAATGAAAAATTAGTGGGATCGTAAATGAAAGTGACATGCAGGCCTGGAAAGCTGGAGAAATTAATGAAGTTTCCCTGGAGTGACTGAGGGTGTCTGGATTGATGAGGAGAAGAAGAGAGAAGACTGGCTAAAATGTTGAGAGATATGAATATAGGACAGTCGCTATATGAATATAGGACATCACACTAAAAAAAACCCCGTGTGATGAGGGGGGCTTCAGGTCATCAGTCCCTTCCGCCTCTGAGAAGGGGCCTTCTAGCAAAATAAAATTACTAGAAGATATTTAAGGACATAATTGAGGGAGAGGCCAGAATTCGAAGGGCGACGCATAAAACTATAGGGACCTGAAATTGCTGTGACACCAAGCCAGAGCTAACAGGGCTCTGGGATGGACCAGGAGAGGCTGATTTGAGAAAAGTTTTCAAAGTAGGATTGATACCATTTGGCAACAGGTGGAAAGGAAAATGCACTAATGAAGTGTTAGACATTTCAGAGCTTATGTGAAAATTTATGACCAATAAACATGGAGGTACCAACTTGGCTGAATGGAAATGAGTCTAGAAATCTAATGCTATAATTTCAGTAGAAGAAAACCCCTCTAATGAGCTTACTAAAATCTAATCAATGTGCCAGTGCTTTTCCATTCTAACAAGTTGATTTGGTGAGAGGTCGTGGAATAAACCCTACTTAGGAGAATATCCACTTTCCTATTTCTTCTCGAATTTGATGTCTCTTCATCTCCATTCGCACAGTCTCAGAACTAGTCGATGGATTGTGTGCCGCCTGTACAGACTTGACCAAAAGCAACATCAGTCAGGGCACATTAGACATGCAGAACCCCACGAAGGCAAATGGAAAGATCGGTCAACAGGCTAACAGTGACCAAGCACCAAAGAGGACAACAGAGTCACTTCTTGCCCTTTCTGTAGAGGTGGCAGGTTTCTGGAACTTCGTGAAGTGCATCTTCTTGCCTGGGGATAATTGCCCTTGACTTTCCACTGTCCCAAGTCAGAGTGAATATCTACTCACACAAGAATACCCATTAGGGAAACTCTGAAGGCTGATCTCTCTCTCTGTTCTTCATTGTGCAGGTGACATGATGCAGCCAAAGAAGAAGAGGAAGTGACACAGGCCATTTTTTAAGACCAAAGGAGGAAGAAAACATGAGAATTTTTTTCTTTTCTTTTCCTTTCTTTTCTTTTCTTCTTTTTTATTGTCTTTTTCTTTCTTCTGGTTGGGGAAGGTGATGGAGCAACATAGGAAGGTAGAAAGGACAGAGGATGATATTAAATTTAATAAGAGGGTTTATGAAGGTAGCTTAACTTGGGGACTCTTTGTTTTTTTTTGAAAGGTTTACTGGGCATGCCCGAAACAACTGCTGTCTCAGAATTTGTTCCCTTCTTCTGGCTTCTGTGGTCAAAATCTGGCCAAAGGCCAAGGACATTTGCATAAACTTGGTGTTAGAGGATGTTTAGAAAGAGAAAGGAATTTGGGGTGGTGGAAATTCTTCACTTTAGGGAGGAGGGTGCCGAGGATCTAGATGAAAAGTCACCTGCACAAGGGCCAAAGAGTTAGTGTCTGAGCCAAGACAATAGCATCTGTCCCCAGATCATCTAATTCTCAGTCCTGTGCCATTTTTAATAACCGCAACTTTCCTCAGAACAAGTATTTTTATAAACTAGTCATTTTCACGGATTGCCCATCTATTTTGTTTTCCACAGTCTAGACAGAAATGTAGGGAGACGAGTGCTGCCAAAGTTGTCTGTCCACCTCATAGGATTGCAAATTGACCTGTGCAGTGAGAAAGTAAGTTGTAAAAACTATGGGGAAACCTGTCCATCTTGTGAGCGAGCATTTGGGGCAGGTCCAAATATGGGACATGGCAATGCCATCAAAATCTCTTCCATTCAAATATGGATTACTTCGTCAAATAAATGTACATCTTACTTGGGGAGCAAGTGACGGGAAGTGACATGGCCGTGAGGAACCCTAAGAACATTTTGGTACAAAGCACTTTGCTGAGTTAAGCTCTTATGGTTTAACAAAACTGATTGCCAGGTGATTAACAAAGCATATTCATGAACCCTGCTTTGATCTTCCTAGTGGGTTTCTGTGGGTCATTATTTACAGGCTCTTTATTTACTGTCTTTATTTTGTAAAGGAAATGAATGACAAGGGTCTACTGATGGGTGAGTCTAGTGTGTCACCTGTGAATTGGGTGTGGGACGCAGCGTAAACTGTGCTTGGACTTTCCAACCTAACATCATACAAGAGAAATTTGGTTAAAAAAATAGGTAAAATTTGGTAAAAATGGATCCTGGAACCACACCAAACCTTGATTGCCATTTGACTGGCCATCGGACCGTTATCTATTCCAACATCAGAAAGCTCAGAAATACCAAGAAGTCTTGAAGTGTTACAGAAGAGGCCCAACTGACACAGCAGGGCAGGCAGACCACGGGAAGCCTAGCAGAGACACCAAGAAACCTGCTGTCTTCCTCATCCTTTATCTACTAATATATAAATATGAGCCTCAAGTCTTTTTGGACTGAGCTGAGAACACCACCTCCTTTCCTATACCTGCTGCTGCTTGACTGCTTCGAGCACCTGGTCTCCGCAGGAGCCCAGAAGCACTTGTCACAGTGGAAATTCCCCAAATGTGAAGCCCGCAGGGGATCACCCAAATTTTCCACACCTCAAAGACAACTCGAGCTGCATACTTCTCAGAGCGATGGTAAGCTGCTGGCTGGGATGAGCCTGCAGAATTTTATTTGCGGCTTCACTGTCCTTGGAACCAAATGAAACCTTGATTTCTGTACCACTGACCAAAGTGCAGTATCCATTCCAACAGCAGAATAACCTCAGAACCACCTCCCAGTGAGAACATACATCAGCGGGGTAGGGTGTCTGTAGCTTAAGAAGGGGAAATCGACAAAATACCTGCAATGAGTATCAAATAAACAGTCATTAAGACGTATGTAGGGTTTGCTGCCTGCCTGAGGCTGCGCTCAGCCCTGAGTGGTTAGAAAACAATACCAACCAATGAGATAATCAGCAATAGTATTTGTATAGGGTCATGTAATTTACAAGCTGTACTCACCCACTTGGTCTCGCTTTATCCGCACAAAAAAATAAGTAGAAAATGTATTATGTCCTCATTTTCCAAATGAACAAACCGAGTTTCTGAAAAGGGCATGCTCGTAAAAGTTTAAAACCTTTTCTGGTGGGGGCGATGCTGGGTGACTTAGCTGGTTGAGTGATGGACTCTGAATTGTGGCTCAGGTCGTGATCTCACCGTTGGTGGGGTCCAGCTCCCATGTAGGGCTCCGAGCTGACAGTGGGGAGCCTACTTGGAATTCTCTCTCTCACTCTATCCCTCCCCCACTGGAGCACACACGTGCATGTGCACGTGTGCACGCATTCTATCTCCTTCAAAATAAATACACTTTAAAAGAAAACTTAAAAGAAAAATCAACTTCCCGGGGAAAAAGAAAGTTGTAAGGCTCTGATTTACAGTGTTTGCCCATTCCATGGTGTAAACACTCCGCCACAGCCTTTTCCAAGCAGGCCACTGAATGCAGAGCTGGGACGAGATACGCATAACCACGTGGGCCTGGCAAGGCTGTAGGACTTGGCTCCTGCACACTGGCCTGGGAGGAGGAAAGTGACCAGGCCAAGGTCGCAGTGATGGTTGCTTCCCGAGACCACATTCCTGCCTCTTGGTTACACAGCAAAGCAGTAACCTGCCATCTGAAAGTTTTCACTCAAAAAAAGCAAACGTGTATTAGGATATCAGCAGGGCTGGACGGAAGAAAGCGGTGGTCAGGGGACCCCAGCTTGGCGGAAACTCACAAAGACCAAGGGAAGAGCAACTCTGGTGCCTCATGACTGGTCCGAACGTTCCGGAGTTGCTAGCTTACCCGTGACATCAATGTTCAGTTTGGGCCGAAGGCTTCTTCTGTTTGCCTCAACAATCCATTAGCCTCATCCTCTCCTCAAATGGGTCATACATTTCTCAAGCTATTTCCAGCTCCTCTGCACCTACTCGCTTGCAATACTCGTCATAACAGGAAGTTAGTTGCATACAGTGTAATCCCCGAACACGTGGCACCTGCACGTGGGGCGCGGGAGGGGGCCGAGGGAGCCGCGGCGGGGCGGGGCTTCCCCGAAGGCCACCCGGCTGGGCGCTGAACTAACCCATCCCAAGTCCAAGTCGGGGCCTCTTCCTCCCAGGCCCTGGTGTCAGAAACCAGAATCCATCCCCAGACATTGTTTTCCCTTCTCGTGCAGTTGGTGGCTCTTTTTCTTTCTTTCTTTTTTTTAATAACGCATTTGAGTAGGCAGCAAAGCCAGTCAGAACTGTTTATTTATAGCCTTGGATTTTCAATGCTGTATAAATTAGAAATCATTGCTGAATGAGGCCTGCGCCCACTCACACACGCAGGGCTGCTATCTGTGAGTCCTTTCACACAGTTTGACTGTACACAGTCTAAAATGGGAGAAAATGACATGCTCCGAGTCAAATGACGAAGTCACAGCTAAACTGCAAAGCAGAAAACCAGCAATTATTTTTCCTCAGCACAATATGGGGAGTACGACAGGTGCAATTATCCAATATTATTTAACAGCACCGGTTTGTGGTGTAGGGAGAAAATAAAGGTTTCCGTGTCTTGGAGAGGAAAAAGAAAGAGAGAGAGAGAGAAAGAAAGAACCTGCCTCTGGGGCTCCGTTTCTGTGGATTAAGCTGTGTTATGTAAATTGAAACTGGTCAGGATTCCAAACAGGGAAAGCAGCAGCACCTGGCTTCCTCAGCCTTCCTCCCTGGAAACTGGCAACCCACGTCATCAGGGCCTTCTGAGAAAAAGCCCCTTGACTTGAAGACCCTCCTCTTCCTCCCCGTGAGGCCATGAGGCCATGAGGCCACAGCTCCGGATAAGACAGTGAGCAAGGCCAGGTTTGCGGAGCTCCTGCCCCTTAGACTAGGGAAACCCTCCTGCCTCTCCCTCCCTCGGCTGAATAAAGAGGCGGGGAAGGAGCAGGTGGCCCGCAAGGAATAATCAGCACCCCCTGGTTTGGCCTCCAGCATGATTTTATTCCTATTTCTGAGCCTTGCCTTCAACTGGTCTCCCTACCTGGAAAGACCTCTCTTCCTCTGGCTATTGCCGTATAAATCAGTTGTCCTTTGTGGCTTCAGGCTTTAGTGGGAGCCACTGTCCCACCTCCTAAAAAGCTCCCTGGAGCTCTCTCCGAGGCACAAGGCTCATTCCCTTCTCTACACCCCAGAGTGGTCCATAGCAGCCCCACCTAATACTGCACCTCCCTTCTCTATCCAGCCTCTTGGCTTCTCTCCCTATGGCAGTGGGCTGGAAAGGTGAGCTTTGGGACCACAGCAGACTCCACCCCTCACCACGCACCTACAATCTGAAGAAAATAGTTTACATTTCTGAGGCTTGGTTCTTTAAAGTCACATGACAATACCTACCATGAGTGAATACAGTTATTTAAAGTGGCGGCAGCGTCCAAGATTCTCCATGCCACTTGACTGCAAGCTCATTGAGAACCGGGGGCCATGTCGAGTTGTCTGTGTCCCTCACAAGGCCTAGATCCGAACTGTGAGAAAGAAAGTACTGGAAACACGTACAGAGGATGGACTTGAGGGTTGGTTACAGCTTCTTAATCCTATAGGCCTCATCACCAGTGGTCTACCTCCTCTGCCAGAGGCTGAGATTGCCAAGATGTGAGCTACTGTTTCACTTTAGATACTCTCTCCATGTTAAATCTCAGAATCCTGTTAACAGTGATGATCAGGTTAGAGTTTTGTGGGGCCTAGCAGTAGAAAGCACATTATAGAATGAAACTTAGTACAAATACATTTTTTGATAAAGGGGAAAATCAGATGAGGAATGGCATGGAGAATAAAGATTGCATGCAGGTGGAGCTCCATATTGGATGACTGGATAGCCCTGATTACCCCAAGGAGCACCAACAGAGCACTGATCCAAATCAGGGAGACTGATCCCTAAAAAAGGGAGGTTGGGGGACCAGTGAAGACAAATCTTGTTTACATCAGAATTTGTATCCCTTTAGGTGCCTTCTCACCCCTTTCTCACAGATGATGACTCCTCTCGTTAAGTCTTGGTCTAGTCTGATTCTTTGTCATAACTGAGACTTCTTCAGCCACTCCCTTGGTATGATTCTTGGGGACCATGGAAAGGGTCTCTGGTCTTATTGCCACTCCGAGTATCTTACTAACATACAAAAGAACCTTCACCTGGATAAAGCATTCCACTGGGCATGGAGAGACACATTTAACACATAAATGAGTGAGGGGACCCATTGACTTACTCTCATTCATGTTCAATGATCAGCGAAAGATATTTGGTGATTCGAAAGTGTTGATATGGAAAGGTACGCTTAGCAGAATGAACATGAGGATATTGGGAGACAAGGAATAGGTTCAGAAAGGGTCAGCCGCATACTCCAAGAGCAAACCTTGCCTAGTTCACTATGGTTTACCATGTGAGTCTCCAAGAGATGCCTGGGTATGGGTCCTGGCTCTCCATCGCACTCTGAGGGTGGTCAGCATACCCCAAAATAGACCTAGGCAATGATCTTGGCCACTGACAGGTCAACAAAACTCTGTGAGCCTTTGGAAGAGTGGAAAGAGGAGGCACAGCAGTGACACGTCATTCTCGATGTTTCTAGTCTTGATTGTCTGGCTGGCACTACAGGAATTTAAATTTGCTTTATAGCTGGAAAGAGAAGTTAGTGCTGGGTTGTCGCCATTCTTAAAAAGAGAGGAGGCAGAGCAAGAAAAAAAAATTGGATTCCATTGACTCTTGAAGAGCTTCAGCTTGGTTGAACTTTCCCAAGATTCCTTCTTACCCAAGCATCTTAGCAACCAGTCCTAGATCTCCTGAACTGCTCAGGACAGACTGACAACTATTAAAGGTACACTGGGTGGCTTTGAGGGCAAGGGGCATGGCTTATTCACCACTGTACCCACTCATACACAGAGCACGGCGCATGATACACTGTGATACACTTAGATTGAAGTAGCATGTTCAGCGTGTCATGGTGATGTGGGAATTTAAATCCAGATCTATCCACCTCAGTGCCCCCACAGTTTCTTTTCTTTTTTTTTTTTTAATGTTTTATTTATTTCTAGGAGAGAGAGAGAGACAGCGTGAGCAGGGGAGGGTCAGAGAGAGAGGGAGTCACAGACTGAAGCAGGCTCCAGGCTCCGAGCTGGCAGTCAGCACAGAGCCCGACATGGGGCTCGAACCCACGAACCGCGAGATCATGACCTAAGCGAAAGTCGGACGCTTAACCGACTAAGCCACCCAGGCGCCCCAAAGTGTCCCCACAGTTTCCACATCACCAAAGGCTTTTAGTCTTTCCTGACTGACACCTCAGAGTCTACGGCCATACCACACTGAACGCGCCCGATCTTGTCTGAATGACACCTCAGAAATACATTTTACATCATGACTCCATAGAAACACATACACATACTTTTAATATATGTGATAGACCACTTCATTCTCTGTCCTATTCTTTTCTATTCTATTACCTGAAATCGTGGCCATTAAATTGATTTCTTTTTTTAATGTTTATTTAGTTTTTTTTCATTAATATAATTTTTTAACATTTATTCTTGAGAGAGAAAGAAAGAGAGAGAGAGGTGGGGGAGGGGGGAGACATGGGGGAGAGGCAGAGTGGGAGGGAGACGCAGAATCTGAAGCCGGCTCCAGGCTCTGGGCTGTCAGCACAGAGCCCAACACGGGGCTTGAACCTTCCAACCGTGAAATCATGACCTGAGCTGCAGTCAGGAGTTGGATGCTCAATGGACTGAGCTATCCAGGTGCTCCCCATTCAATTGATTTCTTTTTTTTTTAATAGTTTATTTCATTTTTGAGAAAGAGAGAGACAGAGCATGAGCAGGGGAGGGACAGAGAGAGAGGGAGACACAGAATC